AGAAGCGTTTCAGCTTAACTACAAGTGTTGTGTCGCACCGTCTGAAAATGCAAGTGTGGAATTAATCCAAATTACACCTACTTACTTACTTACTTACTTACTTACTTACTTACTTACTTACTTACTTACTTACTTACTTACTTACTTACTTACTTACTTTGGAGATTTAACGTGCGCTTTCCGACTGATGCGTATTTCGCACACGGTAAATTACACCTGTACTCAGCTTGCTTATAATTGCTCCTTGTGTAATTGTAATCAAGTAGATGTTGAGTAATCAATCAACCATTTGCCCATAATTAGCTGTCCCGGGATTTTAGTGGTAGTTAATAGCCTACCGTTTCATTGATAACTTACGCATTTGTTGAGGCTCATTAACAGAGATGAGTAAACCTGCACAACTTACTTCAGTTTTTGTACTGTACTTGGGTTTCTAACGAGCAGTACCTCCTTTTGCATCCTGCGTATCCTTCTACTTGGTCCGGGTCTTTAAAAAACATCTGAAGCATCACGAATGTAAACGTTGTTGCATTAAATGTTTGAGAGGTCGCCTTCTGCCTTAGCAATTTCGACTGGCCTGGGACTCATGTGTGTGAGTAGGGTAGACATATCTATTGTGAGTTTGGTATTCACATAGTTTCTGTTTTTGTATTGATATGATTTCTACTTTCGTATATTGATATAATTTCATTTTTATCTTTGGCTGCTCTGTTCATTTTCGTTCGAGTAGCTGCCCATCTCAAATGTATGAGTAAATGTACGAATGTAAAACAAAGTTGCTAGATATATAGAGACCTTTTATTGACGGCGTGTTACGACGTAAATTGTAATAAAAAGGTAAATTGTAATTTTTATTACAATTTGCGTATTACAATTTACGTCAAATTGTATTACAATTTACGTTGTTATAACAATTTACGTCAAAATTATTACAATTTGCTGCAAGTATTACAATTTACCTTTTTATTACAATTTACGTCGTAACAAGCCTCTTTCATTATGTGGAGATTTTACTATTCACGCCAAGAACACTTGTAGAACACTGAAATTGTTCACTCATTCCTGACGCAGGAATCGACACGGTAAAGCTAATAATACAGGATTGTTCGAGTCCCTTGATGAGCAGATCATGGGTGACAAGTAAATTATTAAATAGTCCTAACCCATTCATTGTTGTCGACAGTCGCACTGTTTTCGCTGACTTGTCCTTATTAACCGAGCTGTGCGGTAGCCGAGTTTGGTCATGGGTCGACGATATTTGCACAGTCCTTATTCATGTGACCAGTGTTGGGTGATAAATGAACCCTTGCTAGTTTTGTGGACTTTTCCGGAAAGGTCAAATCCGTGCCTTTTATTGTTGCACGTTTTTATTTAGCGGTTTAACTCTCAACATGCAAAGGCATGACTAGCATTTATTAACAGGTTGACACACGACAAGAGTATACATGTACGTAGTAGAATTAAACATTCCAGACAAAATTGGGACAGATATTTTATCTCCTATACGCATGGTTTCCACATACCAACATTCCCCCGTGGTGAACGTATTACGATGATACTATCTGTGGACAAGGCATCGGTTTCATTCGTTGAAGGTGACTGGCGACGTTAATCCCGGACCACTCACAACGTCATGGCACACTTTGACAACTCTTTGCCCTGATGGGTAACCAGACTGATACTTCCCACCTGACCAACGGTTCACTCCCTAGGTAAACCCGTGGCAAGAACCCCGTGGAGAATCGGGTTATAACTGTCTTCAGCGACCCATGCTTGTCGTAAGAGGCGACTAACGGGATCGGGAGGTAGGGATTGCTGACTTGGTTTGATGCAGGTCATCTTATCCCAGTTGCGCAGACCGATGCTCATGATGTCAATCACTGGATTGTATGTTGCAGGCTCGACTATTTACACCGCCGTCATATATCTGGAATATTGCTGAGAGTGGCGTTACACAACAAACAAACCACGGCAAGACTTATGGTCTTAACAAACAGATGGTCAAAATCAGGGAGTATCTTGGATTAAAACCCACGATCAGTGGATTCTCGCAAACTCAGGGACGCAGTTTTCACTCTCACGCCTTAAACCAGTAAACCCTGCTCCCATTTTCACTTATGGTAGGGAACGAGATATACCTGGATCGCAGGAACTCCGTGTGCCCATACTATAGTATGACGTCACAATGAATGGCGCACTGCAATGATTGAGGCTGAGTGATGTGCCTAGCGGGCGCAAAAAAAACCCCCAAAACTGAGGGCACCCCGAAATATATCTTTAAAAAATAGGGGCGGACGGGTAGCCTAGTGGTTAAAGCGTTAGCTCGTCACGCCGAAGGCCCGGGTTCGATTCCCGACATGGGTACAATGTGTGAAGCCCATTTCTGGTGTCCCCCGCCGTGATATTGCTGGAATATTGCTAAAAGCGGCGTAAAACCATACTCACTCAATCAAAAAAATATGGAGAGACACAGGACGTTATGCCAGCCTATGGAAGTCTTGTCCTGGAATTTGAACCTACAGTTAGCACGCCTGTACTCTGTGGATATAAGTGTTCAATTAGGGTCAGGGAGGTGTCGTAATGAGATGATCTGGGCGTATTTATAGTTCGCCCCTGGCGACTGGCTAAACAATCGGTACATTACATGCGTGACAAGCTTGCCCAACCCGTTAAAAACACCTCACTCCAGCATGTGACGACAGGTTTAGTGTAATGTGCACTGAACAATCATTGTGAGTTTGACTTCTTGAACATCGATTGCCGCTGTCAGTTAGTAATTGCATTATTGAACATGTGGTAACCATCGCATATAAAACAATGTATGAAATACTTTGTTGTATACGTTGCATGCCACCTCCAGTAGTGTTGGGCCATTTACAGGCGCACGGGCATAACAAACGGGCGGATCCAGGATTTTTACAAAGTGGGGATTCCACTTGGTCCATTTGCAACTCCATGTTATCACTGTAGGAACCACCCCACCCCCCACCCCCAACCCCCAATCTAGATCCGCCACTGTAATGCTTCGTTTTGTCTCCCTCATGATCAGTCTATATACAATAGCAAGTCCACTACACGCACGCAATGCACGTAGTTCATATGGTTTATTTCAAGATACATATTTTTTACAGCTTTCACGAAGACATTGATGTATAGTTACAGTGAATAGTTGTGGTGGCATCCTTAGTGACGTGATACATTTTGTCTTACTTCGATGACGACAACGTCTACTTGTATTTGCGTTGTCAGATGCGGGCTGGTTGTGCCAAGATTTCCTAAATGAATATGATCCTTTCGACTTAATGTAGTAATGAATTACGATAATCCGTTAAAACGGATTAGCTGCATGATTATTTGGTCAATGTCAACATATGTTGATAACGGATAAGTCGGGATCAAATCCTTTCAAAACACACAAAAACGTAAGTTGTGGCAAAAATCTACAAACAATATTCATTTTATTGCTCGAACTAAGCATTGTTTTTCTGTAATTTTATCGAAAGAAAAAAATTGTCCCCGAAAATTCGTGAAAAATAGAATTATGCTCCAGTGTTGAAAAAATATACTTTGTTGCAAGGTGTTTTTAAAACTTAAAAAAATACAGGCTCATAGTTTTAAATTATAAAACAATTCTGGGCCCCGTTCCTCAAAGCGATCTTAGCACGAAGGTGATCGTAAGTCCTATACTTTAACATAGGCTTACGATCATCGTAGTGCTAAGATCGCTTTGAGGAACGGGGCCCTGGTTTGTAGCTGAAGCTGATAAATATCCAATCTCGATATAAAATGCCAGTCCCCCCACCCCAGAATATCAAATGGTCCCTAAAGCAGTCATAAAATATTTATGGTTGCGCAATGTTCCTGATTGTTTCAACACCTGATTCACAGCATGGCCGTGTGGATTGTGCAATGTCACTGAGTAAAGGCTATGTTTGCTTCAAATTCATGTGCACATGACCGTTCATCAAAGGTTCCCGCCCCTTTTGTACGAGAACTAGTTTTAAGAGAAACAATATATAGCGAGTGATAAAACTTGAACTTAGATGTAAACGAATCATAATGAGTTTTTGTGATATTTTGTCACAGCATTGATCGAATGTACTCAGTGTATGGTGAATAGTGTCAGCAGTGGGGGTTAGGTCAACCCCAGACTGAAGCAGTCGGGCGGTAGGGTATCCCCCTTGTGGTTCAAGCCATCGCCCGGGACGCTGAGGAATAAAAGTGCGCGTGGAGCCCTGGTGATCACTGCCCCACCCGTCATACCCCGCGTAAAGCGGTGGAAATAGTAATTGAAATTGAAATATCAACCCGATGTGTATCAGTCAATTGACCAAATATATAAATCTATATAAATGTATCCAGATTAAGCTAGATGACATGTATTTTGAGTTTGGGAATTTACAATTAGATAATTTATATGGCGCATTTGCTTTGTAATTCAATTGTATTCAGCCAGATGTGATTTTCAATCGTTTCTCAGAGCTGGTATTGATCGGCGGGGTCTTGTTTATAATGCTTCGACCTGGTTCAGGTGTTTATCGCGTGCAGTTGCCTATAGCAACGTTTCCATTCTGTCTCACATCAGCTTCTGTCTGGTAGTTACGACACGACTACTTATAAATATAATCAAAATAGTTGGGTCGTGAAACGAAATTATGCAATATTAACATGCATTTCCTTTGAATGACTTCATAATTTCAAAGAGCATTACATGTGGGTCTTATATGATATACAAATCGTGAAATTAAAAAAAAGATTCTTATTAAACGCTAAAAGTATAGATTACTATTGGAGTGTATCTGAGGAAGATAACTTTAATAAATCTTATCGTGTCTAAATGATTTTGAGATTATATTCAGTTTTCTGATAATATCCACCAGAAATATTTACCATAAAGTGTTAAATTGTTAAGTGTATGGATATGTGTTTAAAGACTTACATGGGTTCATCTGAGGTCTAATGGCTACATATAGGTAGTTGTTAGGTAAATAGTTGTTCTAATTTCCACTCCTCGCTTCACTTATCACGTGCTATTTACAGAATCACGTCACGTGACAGATTGTAGCTTCACCATTCACGTTATCGTCCCCGCAGCGGACAGACGGAACTACTGGGCAGTTTCCTCAGGTGAGTTAATTTTAAAAAAAATCATTATCTTCAACTTCAATTATTGTTTTCTGTCAAAGTATATATTTTCGAAAGCTTAATCAAACTTTATTTAACAGTGTTGAAGCATATTACGCGGCAATGAAATAGAAAAAGAAAAAGTCCAATGAAATGAAATGTATTAAACATAACCACACAAGACAAAGTATCTACATGTTTTGTGCCAAATGCAGTTGCTTGTCTTGGCATTATGAATACTTTCAATGTCCTTGTCATATTTATCCATGGAAACTATAAATGATAAATACATGTCAGGTTACAGTTAGAAGTGTACAGATAATTGAACATCAACAAATTGATATTGTTGGTTTATATTTCAACATATGGTTTGTCTTGCAACCAACTCACTAGCTGTATAAGCCAAGCAAACCTGCTCGACAACACATCTCGAACGTTCAACGCAAGTCACGACATATAATGTTGGTTTATTTACGCAATGAATATATCAAAGCGGAGATTATAAAACCTACAGGCTGAAGGCTTCATTGATAACTGAACAACTTATAAGCCCAATCATGTCGGTTATTTGTTATGCTTGTAGACAGACAGTAGTTTATTTACCTCTCACTTCTGTACAACATTGATCGCAACAAACAGTGCGTGGGCACTATGGTTATGTAAACTAATCAGAGTCATAAGGGGCTCTCTGGGAGAGATAGTAAAAGATACGTGGTAAAAATTCACATTGCTACCATTTGTTTATATAAAAGATGCTTTCTCTGACCTGCCGTCTCCGTGGTCTTGTGGTAGAGCGTCCGCCCGGAGGGCGGAAGGTCCGGGGTTCGAATCCCTAAGATCTGGCCATGAATGGACACATTTAATTAAAGTATCTCCCCGCCAATGTCATCATACAACACAAGTAATGTTTTGGTCGTGGATGGGGCAGTGTTGATGGGTCGCATGCATCTGTTGAGAAGGTGGCGGGTAAATTGTACATGGGTAGATCTGAGTTACTGGTATGAAGTTGATGTTTGGTCTTTCTCAGTACTGATTTGAACAGCATATTTGATAGATGGTAAAATGTTTCATTGAGGCCGGTAGCCGACACGTTGCTGTACGTGATGGATGAGTGGCTGGTTGGGTTGTGGATCGACGCGGGGTACACAGGAAAGCGTGCCGTTGTTGTTAGTCTCTCAATAGATAAATGCACGTACACAACGGTGTTGTGTAAGGAAGTCTTCACGTATTTAGGACTTACCTGGTTTGACTGTGGGGGTGTGGAGTGAACGTGCAGATTACTTTAACAAGCATGCTACCTGCTACCAACGCTAAAGGTGTTCTTCGTGTATGTACTGCTACATGCTGCCCGATGGACTATGTTATGAAACGTTGGAATACAGAGCGTGGCGTGTGCCAAGAATAGCGTAGTGGTGATGGGTCGCATGTGTCTCTCTGAAGTAGGTATGGATGGCGCGGTAGGGTAGCTGGGTGGGTCGCTCGCGCCTATATAGGAGGTTCGGGTGATGGGATGGAGTAGTGGGGTGGGTCGCTCGCGCCTATACAGGAGGTGTGGGTGCCGGGGTGGGGTAGTCGTGACAAGGTGAGGTAGTGGTGAAGGGGTGGGGGTAGATGTGACTGGGTAAAGTAGTAGTTACGGGGTAGGGTAGTTGTGACAGAGTGGTGTAGTGGTTACGGGCTGGGGTAGTTGTGACAGAGTGGTGTAGTGGTTACGGAGTGGGGTAGTTGTGACAGAGTGGTGTAGTGGTTACGGGGTAGGGTAGTTGTGACAGAGTGGTGTAGTGGTTACGGAGTGGGGTAGTTGTGACGGGGTGGGGTAGTGGTTACGGAGTGGGGTAGTTGTGACGGGGTGGTGTAGTGGTTACGGAGTGGGGTAGTTGTGACAGAGTGGTGTAGTGGTTACGGAGTGGGGTAGTTGTGACGGGGTGGTGTAGTGGTTACGGGGTGGGGTAGTTGTGACGGGGTGGGGTAGTGGTTACGGAGTGGGGTAGTTGTGACGGGGTGGGGTAGTGGTTACGGAGTGGGGTAGTTGTGACGGGGTGGTGTAGTGGTTACGGAGTGGGGTAGTTGTGACGGGGTGGTGTAGTGGCTACGGGGTGGGGTAGTGGGTAGGTCTGGGTACCGGTATATGAGTTCAGTGCAGATCGTGGGCAGATGGAGGTCAGAGTTTATGTGTGTGAGAGAGAAACTGACAAAAGAGATGACATAGGGGAAATAAACAGAGCTCACAGAATAGCAGCTTGATATTTAATTAGTAGGATTAAACGCCAGGCACTGTTATCACGCGCGGCGAGTTTCTCCGTGACTTACGGGGGCACTGTGGAATCTCGGTAGCCTATTTACTTACATCTTAATACGTGTCCACATGATTGCTTTTGAGATATTTTAGCTTACTGGTTTAGATGACTTTCTGTTCTACGTAAGGCGACACACGGAGCAACTGATACATACCCTGCTGTCTGAGACAGAATAGGGGGTATTTTAGCTGTCGCTGATTTTGAATAGTTTATAGATGATGCGCATTCCATGAACTGAACAAGACGGTGGTTGTAGCGTCACACACAACTGCGCACGGGCTGTCGTTGAGGCAGACGTGTGTATTGATAGCTTGAAAATGTTGTTAGTTGCGTGACTGGACGAGAAAAACTGCCCCACGCCCATTCCCACTCACACCCCACCAACCAAGATGAAATCTGTATGGCATATGGAAAAAAGAACATGATTCGACATGTAGTTTAGTCGGGTTGGGTATTTGTATTGTAATTGTCTGTCGCTGTCTATTGACTTTGTGTATTTGGTAACGCCTGACACCGCCGCTGTCTTGGGTCTGTGTGTGTGTGTGTGTGTGTGTGTGTGTGTGTGTGTGTGTGTGTGTGTGTGTGTGCATACAGAGAGAGAGAGAGACAGACAGACAGACACAGAGAGACAGAGAGTCACATGTCCGACTAAGATGTCGAACTCCTGGTGGACCAATAACTATTGGTTACATTGTCATCAATCGTCACTGTTCAAAGTGAGTTCATGATAGACTTTCCTCATAATGATCTGGCCCATGGTTTGACATGGACATCAGGCCTATTGATGACTATCGATCCATGCACCCTAGATACTAACGACGCTACAGTTCACCGATGTTGTTAAGGCCTTTTCACGCAGGCGATTAGTCAGTTTGTGAGTGAATATGCAAGCATGAGACACCGAGCACCTACCCGACAGATAAACAGGGTATGACAGCCTGATCAACTGAGTCGGACCTTACAAAAGGCCTGTCATATAGGCCTGCTCCACCGTGACTCACAGGTGCTGTAAATATAGAATACTAAACGAGCTCCCGTGTTATACCAATTTTATGAAACGAGTGAATAGTTCTGGTATCTGACGAGCGAAAGCGAGTCAGATACCACAACTATTCACGAGTTTCATAAAATTGGTTTTACACGAGAGCGAGTTTAGTATTTTATTTATTACTTGTCATTTATAATGTTTTTAGAATTATACTGTTGAGTGAAAATAGGCTGACACCTACACGATCCATGGCATAATCCTATTGAGTTTAACACAATAATACTTCAAACACGTCAAAAGTTGAAACGTATGAATTTAATATCATACAATGGTCCATCTTTAGAATTCAGGCGTTCGTCCCACAAAATTATCGTAGTGCTAAGGCTATCACAACTCACATAATTTAACTTAGACGAACGACTGTCGTTGCGCTAGAGTACGATCGCCTTGTGGAACGGGGCCTTGCACCTTAAAGTTTACAATCACGTCACAATACCCGATGACGTAATTTGTTGAATTTTGTTGCAAGTTCCATCGGCGAAACAATGCCATGTGACGTCAGCCTAGCAACAAGGTTGCTGGGGTCATCGAGTGTGCATAAGCTCCTCCCAGTGATCTATCATCTCCACACACAATGTCGTTGAATACGCCAAGGGATGTTGAGAGCTTTCAATATTTGTTCGTGAAACGTGTTCCGAGAGTACATAAGCACGCGTTTTGGTATTACACAATGTGTAATAAAGCTGTATGTTTATTAAACGGGTGATCTCTTTACGGGCAAGTAATAAAGTCTGGTCCCTCCTTACAGACAATTGCCTCCGTTTACTCAGAAGTCCGTGAGTGGATGCTATTTAACGCAACACCCCGCAATATTTCAGCGGCATTACGACAGGGTGTAAACCGACCGGGCCAGGCCAACATTGAACAATGACACGCATCCTACCCTCGTTACGCCTGGCCATCCGATTCGGAAAACACTAGGCACTGGGGGCACCAGATCACTATGGGTAGCCAGGTGGATATTATTATTAGTATGTACAGATTAAACTAAAACATGCAGCAACGAGGGTTTGGGTGATCCTTGAACAGTCAGGCTGGTTAGGCTCATCATCAGCTCAGGGCCCTTGACCCCTCTACACGCAGCCCAGACAGCGAATGGGACTTCTCCCAGGAAGCGCTTCCTAGTCAAACCCACCCAGACCTTTTCGGATATTGTGAAGACTCCCCAACATTACCCAGATTATCACAAGGGCTGTATTCCTGGTAGCAAACCCGGGTACTCTTCCAAAGTCAGTCAACAGATTGGGAAGTACCAAACCTAAGGCACCGAGAACATTGGGGAGTCGGACAACTTGGTATCTGAGATGCAAGCGTGACATTTCGAAAGTGAGGTCCGTATATTTGCCATGTTTTTCCTGAATCTTGTCCATCACATTAGTGTCAAAAGGGACAGAAAATTCAATGATATAAATGATTTCATTGGATTTATAAAAACGGACAAGATCAGGTTTGTAGGCCTGGATAGGTCTGAGGCCGTATACGGGCCTATTCCAAAGAATTTTGTATTTATCATTTTCCATGACGCCCTCTACATATTTTGGGTCGTACCATGGATGGACCTTTGTGTCAAAACCACAAGCATGGCGAAGACGGTAATAAAATAATCGAGCTACACCATCATGTCGTTTAAGATACTGTACTTGTGCCAAAGCTGGGCA